GGCTTTGACATCATCTCAGACATTGAGATTTATACATATGCAAACAAACTTCTTTATATATTTATAATGCATTCAGGAAAGACGTGCAATTAAAAATGCTATACAGTTAAAGATCAACAGGGTTTATAAAAGTATTACAGCATCTGACACTCCTGTGGTTTTGAATAAAAAGTCCGCTGTTGTGTTTTTTTATATATATAAATGAGGAAGTGTAGAGTGAAATGTTAGAAAATAGTTGCTTCATGCAAGACAGTGGAATAAAGGTCTTTGCATTAAAAAACTACAACTAAGATACTGAAATATATGAGTTATTTCACCTACTAGGAAATCAGAATGACAAATGGAACAACATAGTCAGCCATTGCGTGGCAGATTTGTCAGTGAAACTCATCCCACGACCAGAATTCTCAAACAAAAATACCACATTTTATGTTCAAAATTAAATGTCATGCACAGTAGCAGACGAATACAGGTTAGAAAAGTACAGCTGTAACATATGCAGTGTTAACTCTTAAAGACAAAAATACTACATGGCACAGATAAATATTTGTTGCTCAAACATCAAAACTTGACACTTGACATAACAAGACTTAAGCAAGATGAGTGAAAAAGAGGAACAAAATATAACTAACTATGACCAGGAAGAAAACCCAGATAACTAAAACTAAGTGCAGAGAATATAAATTCAATTAAACGAACTAGTAATAAAATCTTTAAGTTAGCAAATACAAAACTCAAAATGCAACATCAAAAGAATACAATATACCAAAGTCACCCAAGCTGGTTGTACCTCAGTATCTAGTGATTTATTTGTGTTTGACTGCTCCTCACATATATGTTTCTAGTATGTTTGTATTTTAAAATGTTGTTATATTTGAAGCTGAAAGTTATTAACAATTATTTGTTAGCTCCCACTGACAATTTACCCAAAACCATGTGCTTTGATGATAGCACTTTACTGAGGTCGCAAGATTGTTAATCGGAGATTTTTTCCCCTTCAAAAGCACACTTGGAGCAAAGCTATAACTAGGCTCAATAGACACTTGGTGTACTGTATAATGCTTTCAGGTAGTGATGGCCCGCTTGAAGCTGCAGCTCCGGTGCGTGTGTCAAAAAAATCAACACACTGCTTCAGAAGCACTGTGTCGAAGCTTGATTCGTTTGGCCAGAGTCACGTGATCAGTGACGTCCGAAGCTTCATTTAGAACCTAACTGCTTCGGTATCTGATTCAATGGTTTATAAGGAAGCGAATCATTCACGGGATTTGTGGAGTGTTTTGATGGTGACAGATAGCGAACCACTGATCATTCCACTGAGAGATTTGGAGCCAGCGAGGAAGAGAGGAGGTTCTGTTGTGTGGGAGTATTTTTAGTTGATTTTTGTCAGTCGGGTGGGTTTTCCAGCTTTGTGTTCTGGCTTTGCTTTTGTTTTGTGCGTGTTTATTTTATCTGAAAACGGGGAAAAAGGTAAAATGTCAAAAATCTGCTTCCATAATATAAATATCATTAAATAACTTTAGAAAAACTTCCACTTGACTCTTTACATGTAATGTTGTAAAAATATATATTTTATTGTTTAATTAATCTGAAAATGTTAGTCTGCCAAATGTGCAGCAATTGAATTTATTTATTCTCTTTAGCTGATAGTTGGTGGGGCCCAGGTAGACTGTATAACTGCATCTCTACCAGTTTCTCTGCACTCCAGCCTCCTCTGGGCCATGTGAAGGGATTTTCCTTAAGGCAGGATAAATGATCTCCACGAAAAGGAACAGGTTCGGCCATCGCACACTAGAATTTGCAATTTCATAAGCATTTTTCCTTTCCATTTCACAATCAATTCTACCCCCAGGTCAAAAATATGTCTGGGAAAATTTCCCTAATATAATATTATTTATAAATACACCTGTCTAGCGATTAATTGCATAAGTGCATGGAGGCAGGACCTCAGAGCAGAAGCATACTCCATAATGTGTTGTACATTATTATATGTATATATTATATGTAACGTGGTATTTTTCAATTATTGTATTTACTAACATCAAGAAGTCACAAGCAAAGGAAGACCACACCATGGTGCATGTTTAAACAAGGAGAGTTTACTGGTCAAAACTATTTATTAAACAAATAAAACACATTTTTTTAACCACCAAAAAATACACGTTCAAAGCAACACAACGGAGGCCCAATATCAGACAGGATTCCACTCTGTAGAGTGGGCAATCATAATGAAGCGGTTGGTTTTATTTTGTGGATTCAAGCTGCTCTTCATATTTTTGGCCACCAGATGTCACCAGAGAGGACTGTGTTGAAAAGCTTCGAGTAATGAACCGTTTTTATACAAGCTTCAATGTTCAAGAAACATGACCTGTGTTGTGGCTATTTTTGTTGAATGCTTTTGGAAAGTGATTGGTTTATTAGTTTATGGACCCTCCCATTAATTAAGAGATTAAGAGCACCCGGGATGGGTGTGGTAAAGAGGTTTTTGTTTTGTTTGCCAAATGTCAGATGGGAGGACGGGAGGGTTAAAAAATGATTTTTTGACCACTTTTGAATTTTTAAAGAAAATTAAGTTAACTTTCGTTTAAGTTTTAAGAAGTTATTTGGCTGATTTCTGTTTATAATTTTGCACGAAATAAACGACATATGATTTTTAAACAATGGAGTCAGAAGTGCGTTCTAAAACAAACCTCCCGTTGCCACCCATGGCCTTTTCTTGGACTTTTTTGGTGTTTGGAAAGTAAAAGGCCGCGACAGGACTGTGTTGAAAAGCTTCGAGTAATGAACCGTTTTTCAATACAAGCTTCAGTGCTTCAGAAAGCTTCATTTGGCCATCACTACTTTCAGGTTAACCCTAGCTGTACGACAATATTAGATTGGTGGCGATGTCATGGATCGGCAGAATGATAGACCCACTCACAGACGGGTTTGTTCACATGTGAATAGAAACAGACAAAGCAGCTGGTGAATCTCTAATGCAGGGGTGACTAACTTCAGTCCTCGAGGGCCGCTGTCCTGAAACTTATAAATGTGTCCCTGCTGCAACACACCTGAATAAAATTAGTAGGTCATTAGCAAGAAATTATTGAACTCGACTGCATGCTGAGGTTACAACCCCTAACCCCAGGGTGTCGAACTCCAGGCCTCGAGGGCCGGTGTCCTGCAGGTTTTAGATATCGCCCTGGGTCAACACACCTGAATCAAATGATTAGTTCATCACTAGGCCTCTGGAGAACTTCAGGACATGTTGAGGAGGTAATTTAGCCACTTGAATCAGCTGTGTTGCAGGACACTGGCCCTCGAGGCCTGGGGTTTGACACCTGTGCCCTAATGACTAGTTGTTTGACATTTCTAAATTTGATTACCCTGAGCTTTGCTTTCTCACTTTATCTCGACTTTCTGTCTTTGTTGGAGTCTTGCTGGATTACAATAAATGTAATTTTACAATTACATTTATTGTAAAATTACATTTTACAATAAATGTAATTGTTTGGAATAATTTACTTCTTAAAGCAATTTTATTGCACCACATTCATTCACTCATGAGCTGCTGTGACATGAATCAAATGGCTGAATTGCCACCTCAGCATTCTTTCAAGTTCTAGTCTCTTGCTAATGACCTATTAATTTTATTCAGGTGTGTTGCAGCAGGGACACATGGAAATGTTTCAGGACAGCGGCCCTCGAGGGCTGGAGTTTGACATCCGTGCATTAGATATTTGGGAATGGCGGTGAAAGTATTGAGGCTTTCCAAGAAAAGCACTGTTGTTTGAAACTCAGGGGCTTGATACACACAGAGAGACTGATTATTCCACTGAAAGACAAACAGAAACTCATATAAGAAAGAAGCAGAGCACATATCTCACTGACACAATAATATGGCAACAGCTGAGTATCTGCTTCCGTCGTAATACTGAGCTTGATTAGAAATGGTGAAGCAGGTGAATCTGATCAGCTGATCCTCTACAGGAGAGCAGCCAATGGGGCAGCAGAGAAAATGAGTGGAGCTCATGTCCACACATGTCCACAAGCACACATACAAACACCAACAGGAGAGAGAGAAAGAGACAAAAGGCAGGCCATCACGAGAGAAATTCGGGGACCACGTCAGGAAACTGTTGGGTGTATCTGGCACAACCTTGTTACCATGGAACTACATGGTAGAACTACAAGGTATTCATGTCAGAGAACAGCAGCATTTAACTTGACAGTGGCACTGCTGCACTAGTGTCTGGATTGGCTCTTTCTATACCTGTGTGGGTTCTCTCAGAGTACGTCTGCTTCGTCCAAACATATGCATGTGAGGTCAATCAGTGATTTGAAATTCCCTGGAGCTGTGAGTGATTTTCTCTTTCCTACTCTGTTGACCCTCTGATAGACTGGTGACCTCTCCAGGTTACACCCTGCCTTGAGAGGTTCAAGCCCCTCTGTGACCGAAGAATATGGAAATTTTAATCTACAGCAAATGGATGGATGAGTAGATGACTCACACTGGGCATGTTGTAGTTGCACAAAAAGAACAGGATATTCCTGAGAAGACCAGTAAGAAATGATAAAGTAATCAAAGGGCTTTTACACTATGAAAGTTATTGAAAACAAAAGTCTACGGGTCTACTTCACTTACGGAGTGCAATAACTTATTGGGTGTTCTTTCTAAGCTGAGACAGTCAAAACTTCATTAGAATATTATTATAATTTTAAATTGATGTACTGTAATTATTAGTGTTTTTATCTATTACCTTTGAATAATCATATCTGCTGTCTAAACACTTTCACAATCCTGCTCCTTTTTTAAAGCCAAGAATTAGACAATCTTTCTATTTTTATAAAATAACTAGATGATGTATTTGTTGTAAAACTGAACAAATAAACAAACAAATAAATACTGTATCACTGAGTGTGTTTGATGAACAAGTACCCTCATCAACACCCAAGGCATCAGCAGTTGCAAGACAGTAATCTGTGTATTTGTTGGTACCTCTGAAGATCAATATCTAGGCTCCTATTTTTAACAGTAGAGTAAATCCTGTAGTCACACTGTACATATAATTATTATTTCTGTCTTTCTCTTCCCATGTACAGCTGTTCATGAACATTCCCCACTCTGAGCCATGTATGATCTGATAGCACTTAACTTACTTTAGTGTTTAGAACACAAACGTTCAAGTCAATTTGAATCAATTTTGTTTATTTAACAACAACTCACAATAATAGCCGCCTCAAAATGCTTTATTTTATAAGATAATCACCTTAAAATAAAAAGTCTGCTTTAAACAAGCACCTGGTAACAGCTGGGAGGAAGAACTAAATCTTACACTGACAGAAACTAAAATATGTGGATGATATCAGCCATGTGTGAATTAGATCTATCTGGAGCAATGAAGCGCAGAAACAAGAAAACAAGAAAAATTGTTTTTCAACAAACAAGACTGTAGATGTAACAATATTTGAGATTAAATATCTTATAGGAAACACATATTCATATAACACAATTGCAGCTCTCCAAGCAGCTTCCATAAAATAAAATTTAAAGTTGATCTTTTCCTAAAGCTGTTAAAAGAAGAAAAGCAACTTTATAGAAAAATGTCAAGTGATGCTTAATTCATGCAGGGGAAGAGAAACATGTATGCTTATCATACACATCAAATGATTTTAGAAACAACACAGGAAACATCTGTAAACATGCACTGCTCAAAAAAAAATTTAAGTAATTATTTTTAATCAGTGTTTAGCATCACATCACTCAAATGTCTATCCTCGATGAAGTAGCAGAAAATGTAGTTAACACTAGGTACAGCAGGGTGAGACGATCCCTGGATGCTACAGAGGTTGTACAGGATGTCCAACTCCTCTAGGATGCCAATTCAGTGCATGCTCAAGAGTCTGTCACCCACTGTCAGACCCTATTGTGCTGTGGGTCTTGGGTTCCTCCTGGTATGATAATGACCACCCTCATGTGTTGAGAGTATGCAGGCAGTTCCTGGAGGATTACGGAATTGATACGACTGACTGGTCCCCACACTCGCCTGACCAAAATCCAACTGGGACATTATGCTTCTCTCCATCTGAAGCTGCCATGCTGCAGCTCAGACTCTCCAGGAGCTCAGATGCCCTGGTCCAGATCTTGGAGGAGATCCCCAGGACACCATTGACTCATTATTCATATGCTCCAAGATTGTCAGGCATGCACACAAGCACATGTTGGCCAAACTGACAACTGAGTATCATTCTGAGTTGGTGCAATGAACATTTGACAAAATGGACAAACCTGCTGCATTATTTTGTCACTTTGATGTGTCTCTGCATTTAGCCCTCTGTAGGTTGTTGACTTTCATTTCCAAATGTTGTTTATTTTTATTTTTTTATTTGCTGTTTATTTATTGAGCAATCTAAATGTAAAAAGACTCTAAAGAGCATCCTGGTCTCAAAGCCAGATCATCAGTTGGTGCTATTATGATGAAAGAAAGTTTGTTTGACTTTATTTTATTTTACAAAACAGTGCATAATCTCATTTTCTCCAATGAGCTCTTTACTTCTAATGGAATTAACTCAGTTTTGTCACTGATCCGGTTGGTTTTGCAGATCTTGTTATTAATCTGAAAGAAATGGTGCAGCACAATTCAGTCATTAAAGGAGATTTAGAACTAAATTTACTCCCTAAAAACTTAAAAACTTTAGTATTTAAGTTCATCGTTACAGCAACATGTAAGCTATTTTATTTCTGCACAGTTACCCAGAGCTGTTTGTGATTTAACTTCAGAATAAACTGTTTCATCAGCTGCTGCAGGAGCTGGTTTTCCTGCAAATAAAGAAATGATTTGTCAAATGTCATTGCAAGTGCCTCTTTGTTCAAAGTGACAACTTGATTTATTTATACGGTTTTCCCTGGTGTGTAAAACGTGTAAAACCCAAAACAAAAGAAATAAGGTACTCATTTTATTACATTACTTACCTTTGTGTCTCTTAGGTTTCGCTTTAGTGTAATAGACCCGTGCGTACAACAGGCTGTCATCTAAAAGAGGATGGACAGATGAGCAGCATTAAAAAATGAGTGGCTTTAATTTCCTTTATATTTTCTGTCAGTTAACACCTACAGTAACTCATCACAGGAACAGACTGAAGGAGATTTTCGCTCTATTGAAGACGAGATTTTATGACAACCTGTTACTGTTAAATCTCATTTCAGTGTCAGATCACTTCAAGCTTCCTCCACCCTGGTTATTAAAGTTGAACTGACCCTGTGTTACACTGGAAGGACCAAGTGTCCAACCTCTTTGTTTTCTTATCTGTGTGCAGCTGATTTCTAAAACTTCAATGTTTAAACATAAATAATCACAGTCTTCATATGTCAATGCTACTGTATCTACTTTACCATTTTGTGTGTCATCATGGTCTTTGATTGATTCATAAACACAAGCATCACCTACAAAAACAAGCCAATGTTAGGTTAAAAATTGAATTTCTTATGTATGGGTTTGATTATCTTCTAAATCAGCAAACTAGAAACAGATATATTGGACCTGGAGTTTAAAAATCATCAGTAAATAAATTAATAAATACAACAACAACAACAACAACAAAACTTGTCATGGATCAGGCTGACCTTGGACAGTAGAGTTATCTTGACTGTGTTGAGCTTCATCCTTGATCATGTGGTTCATTACAGAGCTCTGATTTGTGCTCCGAGTCCTGGTGGAACAAAAAAAACAACAAAAAAACCAAACGTAGTAAACTGATAGATTTAATAAGAAACACAGGATGTAGTTCTAGTACAGGAGAGGGGAGATTTGAACCAACCTGACAAAGAATGAATCTGTAAGAAAAGACAATTACATTTTTTATTGTAACCTGTTGTGGTGCAGAAATATTACATTGAGAGTTCAGGATACATCTGTGATTTTTATTATTTACATCATATTCAGTTTAATATCAGATGGTTAATGGTCTCACCCTTTGACTGTTTGAAGCGACACAAAAGCAGAAGAAGAAGAAGAATCAGTAAAACTCCACAAACGAGTCCAACGATCAAAGGAGTGAGAAATGAAGAGCTTTCAGGTGCTGCTGTAATAATACCAGGCTTTAATTAGATGCATTTAAACAGATTATTAACATAATTCACATGGGAACATTTTAAAATATAGTATTATTTACAATATCACTATTCCTAATAATAACTGAAAATATTCTATTTGTTTTACTATCATATTTCTCTGTGGTGATTATTTACCTGAATAGTGAATAAAAGAAAAAACTTTTGAATTTCACATCACCTGTTTATCATTCCTTTATGAACAAAGTTCTTTAAACCAACAGCATATTTTGATTCATGCAAGTGGTGATAAATTCTGTGAATAGTTTTCTAATTCAAATACATAATGTCAGCTTTACAGAGACAAAAGTATATATCGCTATTTTATCAATTTGTATTTATACTTTAAAGCTCTGTGCTAATATGTTTAAGCTCAGAAGAACATTTACGTTTTTTTGCAGACACTGAATTTTTCAGTAATGATAATTATTATTATAATTATACAGTAGATGATGAGTGAGCATAGAAGTAGATTCACATCTTCATATATTCTGAGTATTGTATAAAAACATAATGAATACTGACAAACGGAAGTATTCACTCTAATCTGTTGAACCCTGGTGTGCACTCTCCCCTCACAGTTGTATTCTGCATCATCGGGTTTTAAAAGCATATTTAACTTCCTGAATTCATTTTTGTTGGAAGTTTGGTCGTTTTCCATTCATACATCCACTAAAGGTGTAAATGTCAGATCATTAACTTTTCACATTTTGTGTTTCTAGAAGAAGAAAAAAACTCACCCCTGCGATCAATCCTGACTGACTGGCTGTCCTCTGTGTAGTAAACTGGGTTTCCTCTTCCTCCTCTGCACCTGTAGAGTCCTTCCTGTGAGACACTGATTTGTCCATTTGAGTGGAAAACTGCATCTTGTGTGGTCAGGGCTTCAGAGGATTTCTCATCTCTGTACCAGTAGTATTTCCATCCAGATGATGATGATGGGTTCACAGAGCAGGTCAGGGTCACACTGCCCCCTACTGGAATGTCTCTCATATCAGAAGTTATTTGGGCCTTTGATTGATCTGCTGTTGAGTTTAAACAAAGACACAAAGAAAATATGAATATATACCCCACATGAGGGATCACACGGCCCTGATGTTGTCTCCATTAATGTTACCTCTTGTAAACCTGCTCTCCAGTTTCCAACAACACAAAGGAAGGAATAAGACTAAACTGAAATGGTATGAGTAATCTTACAGATGCCTATAATGCATTTTAGTATTTTAGTGTTTATATATTTTTTCTGTTTCATTATGATTCTTCTTTGGATTTATAAAATAATACTTGTGCTTATTCTGTGTGATCTTATTACCACAACAGAAGACACAGAACTTCTCACTAATGGAATTTTATAAGTCCCACATCCCACACAGCTGCACAGACAAATTTAATATAGAAACATTTTATTTATGAGATTTTTTTCAAATTTCAGACTTTCATAAAACATTTTCATTTGATTAGATTATTTTTTCATGGTAAGTTTGCTTTGATTAGGGAATAGTCTTCTTCCTACATGATCAGAAGAAACATACCAACATATCTCTGTCTCTATAAACCTCCTGTTGAACACATACACACTAATATCAAAAACTTCCACATCACTGTTTGTTCCATTAATAAAACGAAATGCATTCATTTATCTACCACTGCTCATGCAAAGTTCTTAAATAAAGTGTTTGAAAGCATCAATTTCATGACAAAAAAAGAAAGAAGAACATTTTTCACACAGTTCACCTCAGTTGGCAAAACAAACCAGTCACTAAAAATGTTGATTGATGCAACCAAATCACTCTCTCTCTAGGATGCCTCACCCCACAGTAATGAAACTGAACAAGGAAAATATTGCATTACTTCTTGTAATCACAAAGAAAACTAGTAATTAAAGAAAAAACATTAATCTTACTATCTCTAAATGTTGGCTAATTTAATATCGCTAATATGCTACATCTTCAGCCCACACATTTAGTCCACTTTGTATTTCCACAGACATCACCTCAGTGTTTGTTTGTAATAATAAATTTTTCCATCTTGTCAGTTTTTTTCTGTTTTTGTATTTCTGTCATCATTGTCCTCAGGTGATGGAGCAGCAGGTCAGCATTGGCGTCTCTATACCAGCTGAAAGTTCATGACACAAAGTGGTGACAAACTGTCTACAATGAGGCTACTATCAGCTGCAGCTCTTTGTCTGACTAACAATGTAACATGCTTTGTAGACCATTGAATTCATCCTGTGCTGACCATTATGACATTTGTCAAATGGAGATCACACAACAAACATGACTTACTTGATGCTGACAATGTGAAGGCTTCACTCCACTCTGTTGAAGAATATGAGTCATCTCTGCGTCGACTCTTACACATGTAGTCTCCACTGCTGGACTCAGAAACTCTGAATGTCACATCATTATTGTGTGTCCACTGTGTGGGTGTCCTGGGTCCTCTCCATTCATACTCCCACTCAGTGGTTTCACCTCCTTCCTGCACCTCACATGTCAGAGTGATCGTCTCACCTCTGAATATCTGAGGCCAGTTGGGTTGTTGTTTTACAACAACTTTATTGGAAACTGTTCACACATATTAACAGTTGAGATACAAACAGAAACATGAAATCAACACAGAAAACTTCACATTGTATGTTTGATAATCATGAGTGAATGTATATTTCAAACTAAATGACTGAACTCACTGGTTTTCTCAATGGTGACATCATCACTTCTATCAGTGTAGTAAACTGGGTTTCCTCTTGTTCCTCTGCAGCTGTAGATTCCTCCTTGAGATACTCTGATATCTCTGTTTTGTTGATCTCTGATTTGAACTTCAGAGGTTGTTTGGGTTCGTCTGAACCACTCATATTTCCATCCATCAGAGCTCTGCACAGAGCAGGTCAGTGTCACACTGCCCCCTACTGGTATGATTGTTGTTCCTGCTGTCAGTGTGGCCCAGGGTCTATATACTTTTATAAAAAACAAGGAGTGAAAATAAAAGTGATTCAGTATAAGAGCATAGACACATTTTAAAAAGCTACATTTTACTAAAGAATGCTTTAATGTTATGCAGTTTCCCAGTTAGAACAAAATCACTACCCTTCGTTATTATATGACTATTGCTTTTGTCTTTGTTCCCAGTAATGTAAGAGGTTTGAATATTTATTTGTCCCTGTCTCAGCAGGGAGATAATCGTAATGTAACTCTTGCTGTAGATCTTAAAATAAACGCACTGTTTGTCCATTCTATGGCCTGGAAACGTCACATTAATGTAAACTTATACAGTTCTCTGATGAAGGATACACAATGATGGATTAAGAAGGCTGTATGCAGGTTTAGACAATCAAAACATCATTGAGGACAACTTTACATTAACATACATTTTTGATGTTCCCCCTTTTTCTCTTGTGATTTGCAACAAACAAAATATCATAAGGGCACAAAAAAGGCAACAAAAAAGCTAAATTTTAACATTTTCAGATAATGATCTTCCCACTACCAATGAAATCTACAAAAAATATTATTTTCTTTTTTGTGTTTTTTTTACTCTTGTCTGTCTTTTCTCTGCAGTTTAAATTTACAGCATGTTATTGGAAACTGTTTACACATATTAACAGTTGAGATACAAACAGAAACATGAAATCAACACAGAAAACTTCAACATTGTATGTTTGATAATCATGAGTGAATGTATATTTCAAACTAAATTACTGAACTCACAGGTTATCTCAATGGTGACATCATCACTTATATCAGTGTAGTAAACTGGGTTTCCTCTTGTTCCTCTGCAGCTGTAGATTCCTCCTTGAGATACTCTGATATCTCTGTTTTGTTGATCTCTGATTTTACCTTCAGAGGTTGTTTGGGTTCGTCTGAACCACTCATATTTCCATCCATCAGAGCTCTGCACAGAGCAGGTCAGTGTCACACTGCCCCCTACTGGTATGATTGTTGTTCCTGCTGTCAGTGTGGCCCTGGGTTTATCTGCTGTTATGAAAAAGAAAAAGAAAACACACAGCCATTGAACAACATTTTAAAATATGCTTTCATTTTATTTAAATTCCAACTTCCAAGAAGAGATGTCTTTGCTGAGCACGCATCATTCTCAAGGACTCCTCTCATCCTGCCAATAAACTCTTCCAGCTCCTCCCCTTCAGCTGACGCTACCGGACCCTACAGACTAAAACCAGCAGGTTTATGAACAGCTTCTTCCCCACAGCTGTCAGCTTACTGAATTCAGTCCACTGCTGAACCTTTCCATCCACACCCACTTATCCCTCCTAATGACCATGATCATGACTGTCATTCATTCTCAACATTCACCATATGCTTACATTGGATGCATAGTTATGACACTGCCAGTAAGCGCTGGGTATGTGTACTCTGTCACGTAATGTTAGTCTGTCAGAGCTATCTTCATCTGTGGAATATCTAGCACTGTAATTGTTTACGAATATGTAGACATCTTATATTTAGCAAAGCTGATATGTGTTCATAGAAGACTCTTATTTCCGTGCTATAGCAGAGCAGAACAGCTGATAGATATAAGATATAGTTGTTCTGTAAGGATATGGTCTGATGGTCATGTTCTGTATATGCTCCTTCTGTACATAGCTGTTCATAACTACACATTATTATATACTCTGTTATATGTCCTATTTAGCACTTACTCTCTTACACTACAGAGCCAAACTTGATATTCTTACGTATTTAAATTGTAAGTACAAAAGTTGAATGCTAATCTATATATTTTTTAAATACGTTTAAGATTATGATTTTTTTTCTGAGGGGAGAAGCCGACAAATTGGAGTTAGTTGGATAACAGGTAGTATTCTGGAAATAAGCAATTGTAAATTTGTCCATGTCTTTGGCGAAGAATCAACTGAAATG